CATTCCTGGTAATTTATACTCAGCTGTTGGTATTTCTGTTCTGTGTTATGTTATGGGTTTGTGTTTGTGTTTTTCAACCATTAGCATAAGAGAACTGTAATCAATTAGATTTTTTAGCTTTTCAAAGGGTGGTTTCGGGCGAGAGCACATTATATCAGGGGTCGTTGCCTTTACCACGCTGAAAATTACAAGGCTGGTGTCTGGGCCAGATTTGGAGCACGTTGAAATTAAGATCCTTTTACAAAGGTAAAGATTAATGTTATGTGTCGCTTTACTTTACAAAAAGAAAAAGAAAAATACACACATATATATATATATATATATCTAATAATGAGATTTTGGGGTCCGGCCTGATTCGACATTTGCATTTACAGTCATATGCCAACCCAACCCAACCCAACCCAACCCAAGAGGAATTGGGCCTACATGTTTGTGTAATGGGTCCAACTGGGGATAAGATATTTTGACCTATGTCCCAAACCCAATTGCCAGCTAGACGACATAAGATCTGTGACAAAATTACCCATTTCCTAAACTAAAATGGTATGCAGATTTTGCATTTAATTGAATTTCATCTGATTATAAAACACCTCAACATTGACAGACTCATAGTTACTATTTTGATCGCAAAATATACACCCTTGTGGTGAACCAGATAGCCGCGGTGGAGGGAGGACTTGTAGTATCTCTCTAGATCTGGCAACAACGAAAGACTCCTAACGTAATTCGAATGGGGTCACTACGAATTCTATTTCAATTTTATGAATTATTTATATTTTAAGTTTTCATTCATAGATCATTTATAAAAAATTAAAAAAAAGGAGACAAATTGAAAATTATTAAGGCTAGAATGAATGATAAATTGAAAATTATTAAAAAAAAGAAGAAGACAAATTGCTCAAACAAAATAAACGAATACGGACGGTGTTTAAGAAAAAAAAAAAAAACTCGAATGAATGATAACCATTAATTGATCAAATGGTTTTGAATTTAAATTACTTTTGCAGATATACTTTTTCACTAAATGCCTAAAAGATAGATGGTTGGGATCACCTGAAGGTAAATAGTGTCTAAGCCCAATGACCTTTTTCTTCTGAAAGGATAAAAAGTTAACAAAGAAGCCCAATCACATATCATGGCCTATATTACATTTTGTATTTTCGAAAAGAAAAAACAATTTCGATTTTTTTTGTTGGTCTCAGACCATTTCAATTTTTTTTTCTGTTGGTCTCGGAGAAACGAAGAGCAGAGCAAAATACACAGAGAGAGCGCGAGAGCGATAAACAGAGAGAGAGAGAGAGAGAGAGAGAGAGAGAGAGATGGGTAGAGAGGTCTCAGAGAGCTGCGTGGACAGTCTACTAACAGAGATGGTCTCTATGTACTGCAATCGACTATACGCCAATAAGCCTGAGCTCGCCGCCAGCAGGATCGACGCTATTGGCTACCAGGTCGGCCACCAGCTCTCCGAGCGGTACACCTTCCCGCACTCTATCTCAAACCCCTTTCTACGCCCTGCCCTCCATGATTGCTCTTCAATTTCATTGTATTCGAATAGCCTCTGTTTGATTTCATAGCAATTGGGCTTTTAGATCTGAAATGCGTATTTTCAAGTGTTTAATTTTAAGTTTGATTTCAGACTTTTTTCTCTTTTTCGTTTATAAGAGTTTGGTAGGGTGTTTGGTTGTTGAGAAATTGTAGGAAAACAGACCACCTGTATGCATATGCGGCCCTTGCCTTTTTATTTTTTGATCCCAATCAAATTATAGGAATAGGAGCAGTGAGTGAGAGTATATGTATCTGTTTACTTATAATAAAAATGGAAGGCATTTTTTAGGGTGCAGCCAGTGATGATTAAATTTTACGTGTTAGGTACACAATGGAGAGGCCTCGGTTTACTGATCATCTAGATGCAATTAAGTTCATCTGCAAGGACTTCTGGTCCGAGCTCTTCAAGAAGCAGATAGACAACTTAAAGACCAATCATAGGGTAAATTTTAGAATCAATTCTGAGTTGGGGTTCTTTTTCATTGTGTGAATCTGATCAGAGTAAGATGGTCTTTGTTTATATTGTAGGGTACTTTTGTATTGCAAGATAATCGATTTCGTTGGGTTTCACGCATGTCCCTTGATCCGTCTTCTGAAAGCGGAGACTTATCTCAAGAGAATTCTGAGGCTGCGGATGAAAGCAAGGCAGCACAAGAACCAAACATGCATCTCCATTTCTCATGTGGAGTCATAAAGGGGGCTCTTCATAACTTGGGGATTGCTTGTGCTGTTTCTGCTGACACATCCCAGCTTCCTGCTTGTAAGTAGCTCTCTATTTAACGGTTTTGAATTATAAATACATTTTCTGTGCACATTAAGTTACCTTTACAACCCTTGATCATGAATTGTATTGGGGTTATTAATATTATGTTGCAGATTGTCTATTCAACAAGCTAACAATGCTTTATGTTGAATTGGTTTTCCACAAATATAATCTCCTTGACATGTGAAGTCAGATAACTTGACTTACCTGCAATAATTCATTGCCCTCCACAATCCACTTATATGTTAAGCATCACTTATTGCAGTGTTAATTGCTTATGAGTATACCATTTCAGTACTCTTACCAAAACTTATTTAAGTTATGGTATTTTGAGCTACTGAATATAAATGTCCAATTGTTTCGCACTAGTCATGAAATTCAATGGTCCAGTTATGGAATTGTCATGAGAGGTTTGGTCACCTATGCTAGTTGGTTTAATGGTCTTCAACTTATTCTAGGTGGCTCATCTTTAATTAGAGAACAGTGGATTACTTGGTAAACATTAAAAAGTGGAGAACTCTTGGGGAATTTTGCTGTGCAAGTTGCAACCATGCTTAGAATTCCAAGTTGCCTGGATAAAAAGTGACGAACTCAGCCATAATCCGTCTGGATAGCAGCACCTTTGAACCCTGTATGATCTGCTTCTGGGCTCAAGTATCTGTTTCCTATAGAATCGACACTTCTTAGGTGTATCATAGGTTTCGCCTTGACTATTGCTTGGGATATCAATGATGTCAGTAGATCCAGTAGCTCGTCCTGCAAAATTTGTTCTGCCCTAATACTAGCATCAAAAGCCTTGACTCTTCTCCTCTACTTTAGTCTTAATTCAGAGTTAACCCTTTTTTCATTCTAAATTTTTCTAAATTAGAAAGGACGGGTGAGTTTTATCCTTTGGGAATTTTCCTCTGTTGTTCTTGCTCCTTGATTTCAGTTTGAATCAATAAATATCTATCTTCTTTTATACTTGTTTTTCTCATCATTATTTCGTGCACTGAATCTGACACGATTTTATGACCTTATTGACAAATATTCCATTCATTATAGTTATCTTCTTGGTTTACTGGCACTCCCTGTTGTAATAGTGGTTGTTTGAAATTATTGAACAGGTTCATTTGTGGTTCGTATAAAGCCCTGATGAATGCTTCTCCAAGGAACTGTCAAAACAATTAGGGTTTAATACATCGACTTATCAAGATTTGTAATCTTCTCCTCTCTCCTTTACAAGAGTTTTTACTTGATTTCAGAATTTCCTTGTAATCTTCAAACTAACACGAGTATTTGGGAAAAATCTCTGTTGCAACTTGCAATGCTATAGGAGAATGTTGAGAAGCAAAAATTGTTTTTATTCTTATATGAGACGGTGTCCTCCTCGCGTCAGAAAGTTTGCCTGAACTGAGACTACATGATTGTATTTTATAATTAGAATGATGATTTAATTATGTTTTATTTAGTGAAATCCTCAAAATTTTATAGGAATTAGGAATTTGATATGTGATATGATGGGCCTACTGTCCATTCTGCTTGTAATTCTCATCCAGCTCAACCAAATGCAGAACCGTTGGATGATTTTAAACTTGTCTCTAAATGAAATTGGACGGCTGAGACACAAATGTTATTTAAAATTGACGAAGTAAGTATAAGTGTGTGTGTTTGTTTGAGATAATGAACTTATAATTCAAAATACCCTTATTTAATGGAAATGTAAAAAAGAAATCAATTTATCAAATGGATAATATATTTAAAAAATATTGTTTGGCATTGTCAAAAGTCTAGTTATTTATTAAAAAATTGTAGGTGTTTCCTAGATTTTATTTAAGGAAGTTTCTAGTAAAAAATCTCACCAAGCGTTGGTAATTATGGGTGTAATGATATATTCCGTTATATTTTCCAAATAATGAGAGCAGTTAAAATCTTATTAGAAATTGATTCGAGTAGTACTACTGTACTAGTCCTAGTGGGAGTAAAATTAGGAAGATAATGGATTCCACCTCAACCGTCGGTGGTGCGCTCTAATTGTCGTCTGCAAAAGGTCAAAAAAATTTATACTCAAATAGGAACAGGCCCATGGGAGGGTGGAAAGATTTGCACACGTGTCCAAGCTGTATGGTTTGCGTGGTCCCCACTACACACACCACTTTTCCCTCTCCTCTTTGTTTTTGGTTTACAACTACCCCTACTTCCGTGAGAAACAAAACAACTACAGGTTTCTTTGCGTTCGCTTTAAAATCCAGAGAAGCTACAAACCACATACCACACTCTCTTCTTTCTTCTCCTCCACTGTTTCTAGGGTTTCGTCGCTGCTGTTTTTCTTGTTTTCTTCGCTTTTAGTCTCCCGAATCTCCACCACGACGGAGACAATGGAGAAGATAGAGTCGGATTTGAAAGAGTCTGAGTTCAAGCAGAGGAGCCTGGCCAAGGCGTACGATATTATACATGCGCAAGCTAATTCGTTCCTCATTTTTACTGTGCAGTGGAAGGACCTAGACGACCACTTTGAGTCGACTCGGAACTCGCTAGAGACCCGGTTCCGTGAACTCGAGGCCCGCGAGGAGGATATCGGAGTCCGGGAGACGAAGTTGGAAGCCGAAGAGTGGAAATTTCGCTCGGAGAAGGAAGCAAAAGCCTGCGAGTTGAACGGCCTTGATAGATTGATCGATCAGAAATTGAAAGAGGTAACTGACTGTAAAAACCACTTGCATTCACTTTTTTCATTGATTCAAGAACACAGCGATGAGGTCATTGTTCAGGAGAATCGGTTGATGGAAGTTGAGAAGTTTGTTAGAGAGAAGGAGATGGAGTTTGATTCTATTGACCGGCGTGTTAAAGAGAGGACGAAAAAATTGAATTGGGTTGAGAAAATTGTGGAAGAGAAGGAGATGGAGTTTGATTCGATTGACCGGCGTGTTAAAGAGGGGACCGAAAATTTGAATTGGGTCGAGAAAATTCTGGAAGAGAAGTCGAAATTTGCCGAGTCTAAGGAGGAGGAAGTGAAACGCTTTCAAGAAGCGTTGAACAAGTACGTTGAGGACATAGAGTTGAAGAAGAGGCAATTGAATGAGATTCTTGGGTCAATTGAGAAGCACAAGAAAGAGTTTGATTTGAAAGAAGAGCTAGTTGAAGCAACGAAAAGATCGATTGAGGAATGCGACAGGAAGTTGATATTGAAAGAGGAGAAACTTAAGTTGATTAAAAAATCGTTAGTGGAGTGCTCTAATACACTCGAATCGAGAGAGAAAAATATTAAGGAAATAGATTTGAAAGAGAGAGATTTTGGTATGCGTAAGAATTCAATGGAGGAGTGGTCGTGTAAACTTGATTTCAGAGCGAGGGAACTTGAATTGATGGACAAGAGGGTAAGTGAACGCCTCAACGAGGTTAAGTTGAAAGAAAAGAATTTGGATGAACTCCAAAAATCGATCAGAGATGGCGAGAAGCATTTGGATAAAATGTCTAAGGGACTTCAAATGAAAGAGAGTCAACTTGAAGACCAGGTCAAAGAGCTTGCATTGAGGCAGAAAGAAGTTGATTCGATCAAAAAATCCAATGAAGAACGCACCCAAAACCTGGAATCAAAAGAGGCACAACTTGAAGACCAGGCCAAAGAGCTTGAATTGAAGCAGAAAGAATTATTTTCGATAAAAAAATCCACTGAAGAACACGCCTTAACTTTGAAATTGAAAGAGAGGCAACTTGAAGACCAGGCCAAAGAGCTTGCACTGAAGCAGAAAGAATTTATTTTGATAAAAAATTCCACTGAAGAACACAACGGAATCCTGAAAGCAAAAGAGAGGCAACTTGAAGACCAGGCCAAAGAGCTTGAATTGAAGCAGAAAGATTTTGATTCGATCAGAAAATCCAGTGAAGAACTCATCCGAAACCTGAAATCAAAAGAAAGGCAACTTAAAGACCAGGCCAAAGAGCTTGAATTGAAGCAGAAAGAATTTGATTCCATTAAAAAATCCACTGAAGAACACACCCGAAACCTGAAATCGAAAGAAATGCAACTTGAGGACCAGGCCAAAGAGCTTGAATTGAAGCAGAAAGAATTTGATTCGATTAAAAAATCCACAGAAGAACACACCCAAAACCTGAAAGCGAAAGAGAGGCAACTTGAAGTCCAGGCCAAAGAGCTTGAATTGAAGCAGAAAGAATTTGATTCAATCAGAAAATCCACTGAAGAACTCATCCAAAACATGAAAGAAAGGCAACTTGAGCAGAAAGAATTTGATTCGATCAGAAAATCCTGTGAAGAACACATCCAAAACATGAAATTGAAAAAAAGGCAAATTGAAGACCAGGCCAAAGGGATTGAATTGAAGCAGAAAGAATTTGATTCGATTAAAAAATCTACCGAAGAACATACCCGAAACCTGAAAGCGAAAGAGAAAACTAATGCCCTTCATTCTCAAGTGAAGATTGAGCAACTGGAATGTATCCCTTCCAACCAGGCCTTTGTTCCTTCTTCTGCAATTAATCAATCCAGCATCTATAGGGATGGTAGAGGCTTGCAGTTGTTCATGAATGAGCATTTGAAGAGAATTGATTTAGTGGGTAGCGAAATCTCAGCTGTTCTTGAAGCCTCATTGGACCCAGCAAAATTGGTTTTGGATGCAATGCAAGGGTTTTACCCCTCAAACTCGACTGTAGACAACAGGGAGTGTAATTTTGATTTGAGAGTTATTAGGAGGAGTTGTATTCTTTTGTTAGAGGCTTTAAAGAAAGTCTCACCACAAATTAATCCTCCGGTGAGAGAAGAAGCAATTAAGTTGGCGGGTGACTGGAAGGCTAAAATGACGGGGGCAACCGAGAATTGGTTGGAGATTTTGGGTTTTTTGAGGCTTGTTACTACGTATGAAATCACCTCTGAGTATGATGGGAAGGAGCTTCAAAGTCTTGTTGCTACAATTGCCGAGTATGAACAGGCAACTGAATTATCCCAGGCCCTTGGTAGCACAGAAAAGGGATCTGGTAAGTTCTTTTCATTTATTTACTGTTTTTTTCACATTTTTGGATCTGAGTTTATAATTTGTATAGTTAATTAGGTTATATGTTATATTTCTGACCCTTGTCAACCCAACAAATAGAAGTCTATACCAGAGCAAAATGCCCTCTGCATGTTGTGGGATGGGATAGGCCTGTCAGTCATTGTCAATTTATAACAGTGATGACCCATGAATGCCACAAAGAACAGTTCTGAAATTCTGATTTCTTGCCTTATGGGAGCTTCTCTTTAGAGGGAAAAAGTTTTAATGATTATAATTCTTATTGTAGAGTAGCATTGGTTACAATTTCCCATTGGACATGCGTGTTACTCTTGTTTTTAGAGCAGTGTTGAAGAGTACTTGTTACTCTAAGAAGTTTCTGCAATCAATGATTTTTAAAAATGTTTCAAAACCATTGTCCTTTTTAGGCCTTGTTATTTTATTCTAGAAAGATGATATGTTACATTGCAAATTGTTTTTCCCTCTTTATTTTTTTATAAGAAATGCTTTGTCCTTTGTGCTGTCCTGAAAATCATTAATGGTTTAAGTTGCCCCTACTTTATGAATATCTTGTTCAAGTCTTTTAGCATCTTGATACCATTTCGTCCTAGCTCTTGTTATTGAAAATTTTGCTTGTACTTCTAAATTAGCCATTTGGGCAGTCTCTATCTCCAACTTGCCCATAATACCGTCTGATGCTCTCATATATTCAAAACAAGACTTTTCTTAATTTCGGGGTTTTGCTTGGTAAGACTTGAACCTAATAGCTATCCCCATCCCCACTCCACACAACACTCAAAGCACAATTTGCACATAATGCTATAAATATGTTTTAATATGTTAAGTTCAGAATTATTCACTCACTAACCTGTCTACTGCAATTTTTTTTTTTTTTTGCACAGCCAGCATCATTTGTTCCCCCGTCAAAACTGAGAAACCAGAATCTTCCCTGACAAAAAATGCAGCAGCTGTTTCTTCTCCGAATCTTCAACTAACTGCTACTACAGATGCAAGGAATTTGCAGGGGTTTGTACATGAGCTTGCGAGAGGGAATCATTTAATACAAAGTGAAACTTTGGCTGCTCTTCAGACATCGTTGGACCCAGCAAAATTTGTGTTGGATGTGATGCAAAATTCTTTTGCTCAATACTGGGGAAATGGGGATGTTCGTTCTAGAGAAACTGTCATGTTGAGTTTCATCAACCTACTGGAGCAGCTAATTTGTATCTCACCGCATGTTGGACCTCATGTGAAGGATGATGCAAGAAATCTAGCAATCCAGTGGAAAGAAAAAATGGGAGCTGATACTCAAAATTCATTGGAATATTTGGGTTTTTTGCAGTTTATTGCTACATATGGGTTGTTTTCTACCTTTCCTAGATATGATATGGTATCGCTTCTTGGGAGGATTTCTCAGGATAAACAGACTCGAGAATTATGTCAGAAACTCAGTTTTGCAGATAAGATCCCTGGTAAGTTTCTTGAATATGAATTTTCATGTTGTGTTCATTGTGCTGTTTGTGTTTAGCTTACCATCAATCTTGTTTATTCCTTGGTAGGCTCTTTAATTTCCTTTTGCAATTTACAGTGTTTTGGCTATAGGTGTTTGTAACTCTGAGTGTCCTATATCCCATTCTTGT